TATTTTACAGATTAAAAAAACCTCCTGGGAGGATTGGAGGAAGAAACAAGTCTGTGAGCAGCAAAATTGTAAAGCTGTTTCCTGTGACAACATCCTGTGTGGGTCCTGCAATGTATAGCGTGGAGTGAATTCACTCCCTTTGTCCCCAGCTGGGACAGTGATGGCCTCTGCTCTGCCATTTAATTTCATAAAATACTTAGGAACTTTCTATGTAGGAAACTTGACCCCTGGGACAAATTCCATTAAAAAGACAAATGAATTCAGAGGTTACAGAGAGAGGGCAAGAGAACCCAATCACATCTGCTTCTTCCCTTAGAAAAATAAGCTAAAAATACCACAAGGCTGAATTTTCTCTCTGGAGCAGCTCAAGAGATGTTCTCAAATAAGTAAACAGCTTCAGAACGAAATCCATAAACACAAATGTAACCCAAACAAGCAGTGCCAGGAAGTCAAACTCACCTTGCTGGCTATGGACATGGAGGGACTGGGTGGAGGGCTCCAAGGGCTGAAACACAAGACCAAAGAAGAATTTTACATGCGCTGTAGCTGGAGCAGTTTTACTCTGCAAATACTTTTCAGCCTGTCACCTGCATCAGGGAGGCTTATTCTGGAGATTTTACCTTCCTGCCTTGCAAAGTTAAAGGTTTAGGACACTTGTTCTCACAGAAATAACTATCCTACAGGGTTTGACTGCACAGGGCTGCTGAGCTCTGGATGGGCAATGAGGAATTCTCCAGACCTTTTCCTCAGGCAGCCCTGGCAAAGTCCATCCCAGCTGTGTCTTCACTGCACCACCGACGCATCTGACCCCACTTCATCTCACACTGGGAGGACAGACAGCTCTCTGTGATTGCTCCCTTATGTGGATTTTCTTAACCTGCCAAGTGCTGTCCTTTGGAAAAGGGAAAGCCTTTGCCTCCTCCCATCTCAGTGCATGTGTGGGGATTTCTCCACAGCTGGGGATGAAGCCGACAGAGCGGGTCCCCCTCCCACCACTGCCGTGCTCAGGCACCCACAGAGCGCTGTCTCTGCAGCACTGGCAGCTCCTCTGCCTGGTTTCAGATGCCAGCCCCCTCCTCAGTCCCAGGTTTCTGCCCCACACCCCCAGACTTATCTGTCGGTTTGTGCCAGTTCCTTCCCTCCCATTGTTCAAGCCCCTGCAGGCCATGGCTAAGCCCAATCCCGAGCCCTGTTACTCCGCTCGGATGAGTTCCAGCCATCTTTGCTATGGGAAACCCCTTCCTATGTTCTCTTCTGGCTTGGGACTCCTCCAAGCAGCCCTCCTGGGGTGCCAGAGTAGCCAGGCAGGGTGTGAACACCACCCTTGTGGCAGCAGGGGATCACTTCCCAGGCAGGATGGGACCCCCTGGTCCCATGGCCACAGCTGGCATCCTCCTCACAGGGCACCTCCTTCCCCGCCACCGTCGGCACACCCTGGGCAGGAGGCGATCCCACACTGCCAGGATCTCCCCTCCAAAGCAGCCTCAGACAGGGCATCCCTCAAGCCAGGATGAGACCCACTCCCAACGAGGACCTTTCCCTCCAAAGCCAACCTGGACAGAGGATCTTTCCTAGGCAGGACGCAACCTCCTACCACTGCATCCTGATCCAGCATCCCAAGGATCCTCCCCAACTCCTCAGGCAGGATGGGACCCAACCTCTCGATCCGGTCTTCCAAAATCAGCCTGGGCCAGGCTCTTCCCTGCACCGTGTGCTGGAGATGTCCCCGCACAGCGCTCCAGCGAGAGCATCCCTGTCCGGACATATCCCATGGGAGCCTTCTGCATCCCACGGCACCTCCGAAGCACGGCCGGACAGGACGGGACCCCCTTCTCTGCCCAGAGCGGACCCTTCCCGTTCACCCCGTCCCTCCAGGTGCAGGGGACTGCCCCCAGCTCGGCGGGACGAGGCGCCCATCCCACCACCAGCACTCCGGCACGGCATTCCCCCCGCCCGGGCAGGACGAGGCGCGTCCCCCCACGCCGGCCCGGGCAGGGGAATCCCTGCCCAGGCAGGATCAAATCAACTTCCCCCAGCAGCCCGGGCAGGACGAGACCCCCTCCTCCCGGAGCCCCGCGGGCAGGACGCGCTCCCACCTCTGCAGGACGAGCCCGCCACCTCCCGAACGCGCCTGAGGGGAAGCCGCCCGCTGCCCCAGAGCGCGGGCCCCGCTGGGGATGAGCCCCCTGCGGGCGGGATGCGGCCCCGGGGGGGGTGGAGGCGGGCTGTGTCTCACCGCAATGCTGTCCGGGGGCCGTGCCGGGAGCCCCGGGAGAGGGACCGGGAGCGGAGCCGGGGCAGGATCGGGATCGGGAGCGGGATCGGGAGCCGGAGCCGCCTCCGCCGCTGCCACGGCAACGCCGGGCACCGGCCACGTGACCCGCAGGAAACGGGGGGGCAGCGCCGCCACGCCCCCGCACGTGACCACTCACTCATTGGCCCGCGGTCGGGCTGGCCACGCCCCCTCAGCGACGGGGGCGGGGCCTGGGGACGCGACCCCCGCCCTGCCGCAGCCGGCGCCCCCCGCCCCGCCCGCGGAACCGGGGCCGCTCTCGCCCCCTGCGCCCACCGGGGAGCCCTTTGGGGGTCTCACGAAACGGGGATGGACTCAGGGGTTACAGGGAAAGAACATCCCTGCGGCACGGAGCCGTTCCCGCAGCACTCGGGGGTCCCGCTGTGAGCATGCATCTGTAGGGGTAAAAAATGTCTGCGGTTCCCTAAGGTCGCAGTCGGGCTGAAAGCCACCCACCGGTAAAGATGTTAGTGGGTCTGGACCTTGCGTTATCCCTAAATCTTGCCACAGAGAAGGTATTGGTGCAATGGGATGCAAATGTGCTTTTATTACAATTATTAATTATACAGCAAAAAGTCGCCACTTACATAAGTCAAAAGGCAGCGCTGCTCTGCCTCCGCCGGGCTGAGGCTCCTCCGGCTGAGCACAGGCTCCCTGCGAATCCCGACTGCTATCTCCCTGCACTCCTCCGCTATTGACTCAGCAGGAAATCCTGTATAAACCCATCAAAAGGATAGGGACAGCCTTATGGGAAAGAGAGGGAGTTCCTGCCCTGGAAATGAGATAAAGAAAATGCTGAACGGCAGCACAATGGGTCAGCTTTATAACAGGGTAATCCCATCTTCCTGAATTCCATTCTGCCTGGGGGAGGGAACAAAGGAAAACAATTCTTAAGTACCTAATAAAGAGACAGATACAAGTTATCCTGAGTGTGCTTTTCACCTCTGAGAGCAGGAACACCCCTGGCTCGGTTTCAGCCCAAACACTGCTGTCTCTCAGGCTCCCACATTTGCACAAACACACGTACAGAGCAACTTTAGCCCTTGAGGGTTAATCTCTATCAGAGAAAGGAGAGAGACTCCTCTAGAAAAGAACCCAGAACACGAATTTAGTGTAAGCAGGTCAAACTCCTTGGCAGTTTCAAGCCTGTAAGTTATTACTGCTTTCTTGGTGCCCTATTTGGAATAGCAATCAGTTGTAGAGCTGTTCCTATTTTACTATGCACAGGAGCACTTCCCCTTTTCTACTCCACGGATGAGGTTTTCCCCGTTTTGAGGTCACATAGTATTTGCATTTTATTCTAAACGAAGAAACATCCCTTGAAACCTCCCTTTGAAGTGCTTTGTATTCTCAAACAAGCTCGTACTGCCACGAACAACCACAACAGAGTGTTTATGGGAATTCACAGCTACACCTACCAAATGCAGCTCCTACTGCTACACTCAGCCACCCCGGCGAGACAGAGCGTGAGGCAGATGCCACCTTCACCAACATGCTCTCTTTGCTGTTTATGGATTTCAAACTCAGCATTCCCAGAAAAAACAGCATGAATAACTCAGCACGGGCATCTTAGGGACACAGGATGAGGCCACACAACCTGAATTTGTTCAATCACCAAGACAAACTGGAGTTCACCTTCCTGGTGGCTGAGGGAAATGTGTCCTCACTCTGCTTAATGCAGAGCAGCACTCAGCTCAAAGGCAGAACATTATTTGTGAGACTCTCAGTTCTTTGCCCATAAAAAAACCCTCATGTTTTTGTGGCTCATCCTACAATATCCACAGGGTTTGTCTGCCCTAAGGGGGATTTGTGTGAAGCAATGCTCATAACTAATCTCTCCACAGGGAAAATGGATCCTGCATCTGAATGAAACACTGCCACAACTTGCAGCACCTGCCTCCGTGGAGACTGAGCAGAAAACATGCAGATCTCTATCCTGGGGGGCAGTGGGGATATGGACCTGGCAGGTCAGAAGTTATCAAGCTCTGAAGCCCTTGGATATGTACAGAGGAACTAAAGGCAAACATCACTTGCACTTGGTCACATCTGCTTCCCAGCCACCATGGTAATACCATGGAGAAGCCATTACATAAAGCCAGCTCAGACAAAATGCAGGATTTCTGGCAGCAATATCCAACAAAGGCGAAATCTAAAAAGAGATTCTCCCTTTTTACTGTTTTTGCTTAAAATAATTTGGCATTAACCAAGGCTTGAGAAGAAGTAGCACCGCATTCTGGATGCAAGGCTCTGGGATGAGCATGTCTGAAAGCCAGCAGGCACTTCTAATTAAAGATACACTGAAGAGACAAAAACCAGAGTTACAAGTAAAACCACCACTGCATATGCTTTAAGCACCAATAAGTAAATATATAGAGAGATGTTAAGATTCCTACCGGGGAATCCAAGGTGCAAAGCAGAGCGCTCAAGCAGAGAGAAAGGCAGGTGTCATCACAGGAAGCTGAGCACAAGCAAAATGATTCCATTCCAAGCCTTTCTGCCACAGGATTCGGAGGCTTTACACACAATCTTTGGGAAAAGGTATTGTTCCAATTCAAAAGCAAAAAGGAAGTGACATGCAGCTTACACCTTTTTCCATATTTTCGTGTGTGCCACATCACTTGATCTCTTTGTCCCTTCCTGCAGCACTGCAGCATCTCTTTATTTTACTGAAATCCTCTTCCAAAAAGAAAAATAGAAGACAGAACAATCCAACACATCCCTTTTATTAATTTAGAAAACATGGAAGAAAAGCAATAGGGAAAGTTTTAGCATTAAAAAAGGGATCCAGATTAAAAATCTATAGAACTTGTCTAGCAACATAAACTGATTTCTTTGGGTTAGAGATGACCCCATACAAAACCCCAAATGCAGAACACTCACAGTGCAGGAGAGTCTGGCTACAGACCACTTTTCTACTTCAGGTTAAACTCTTCCCCTAGATTCATGTATCCCACTGCTACCAGCTTCAAGATAAGTAGAATACGTAGCCTTCACAGTAATATTTCCCTTAAATGGTAATAGTTATGTTTTAGCTTTCAGACAGAAAAACACTCTGGGCCATTTTAGAAAGAACTCTAGGGTCATAGAGACTTATGGCTGACTCTTTAGAGCAAACTTAGAGCAGACTGCACAGCAGTTATACAAGCAATTAAGAAAAAATCTCTTATTTGGCATTTCTCTATCATTTTCTCTCAGGCCTGTGACGTGAAGGCCATGCCCCGTTAAGCAGATGTAACGTACGCCAATGGGTTCTGCTTGGCTGAGATGAAAGACTTTCATGCTCCTGAATATAAAGCAATGAACAGTGTTTCCAGCTGTCCCTGGAAGGCCTCATCCTCTTCCCATCACAAAACTTGGCTCTTCAGCATCATCTTCCTTCTCTTCCTCCTCCTTGCTATCCTCTTCGTCATCCTCGCTGCTGCCTTGCTCTTGGGATTGCCCGGGTTCTACAAACACAAACAGGATGAATGGATGAGGTGTTCCCACCTGGCTTCCCTGTCAAGCATTTCACAGCAAAACACTCTCAAGGTGCTCAGCAAATGTTGATTAGGTCAGGCTAATTAGCACAGAGGGTAACATATTCCCCTGTGTCTTCTTTGTTAAGCATCTCACAGCTAAGCAGTCCCAGATACTCAGGGAACAGCAATCAGGTTCTATTAATTCTACCAGGTGATGAGGAGCTCAGAATATCAAATTCTCCCTCGGGGAATTCCCTTATCTCCAATACCAAGTCCATCATTAAACAGCTCCACCTCCTCTGGAACATTATTTCTTTCTAACAGAGACAGTCAAACACTGAGGTGACATTATCTCATTCCCAGTCTTACCTCTGCAGGCTGGGATGAACTTTGAAGGATCACACACAGCACTGGGAAGGCACAGGCAAGACTCAGTGTATTCCTACAACCTATCCAAGTTCACAGAAACTCCATGAGGTGCCATAAACTTTTACAGACTGTTTGCTATACTGTCAGTACAAGAACTCATGAAGATATGCCTAAGGTTAACAAGGGTCACAGAAATCTTGTGAAATCTGCTAAAAAACCAGGATACATCTACTAACCGATAACAAAAATGAGGTATGGCACAAAAGGCCATTTTTCTGCTCTCTCCTGTTCCTCAGGCCCAGTCACACTCTGTGTCCTGACCAGTTCATGCAGGATTTAGGATCAGTGGTCTGATGCCACCGCGTGGTGAAGTGCTGAACTTTGAGCGTTTACTGGGAGTTTGCTCATCAACAGCTGACCTCATTCAATGCCAACCCTTATTCTTTATGTTTTTACTGTAACAAAGATGAAACATGGCAATTCAGAGGTTTAATTTATTCATTCAAAAAGGAAGACAAATGTTTGCCTGCCGTATCCAACAAACACACTTTAATCATTTTGAAAAAAACTCTCAGATCACAACCCAGGGCACACAAAACTAAAAGAAGCTGTTCCCAGTTGACTAAAAATGGCTAAAGAGGGACTTCACTCCCCCTTGATATTATTATTTTACATAGAGAACTCTTTTACACAGACTGCAAAGAGTTAAGAACTGTTACAAAGACCAGGAGTTTGGATTCTGTCTTTCAGGAACTTGTGCCAAACAAAACCACTCCTGCCCCAGAATGGGTACAGGGCAATCCCATACCTCAGTGCCAGTCCCTGATCCAGCTCTCCTCTCTCCCAGCCACTCCCTAAGGGATGGGTATTCTGTTTGTTCACTCAAAATGAACAAATGTTGACTCATGCTTAAATTCTCCTCCCAGTTACAATTCATAAACGAGTAGCTTAAAAAAATAAAATAAAAAGACCAAAACAAAACACCCAAAAAATTCACTCTGCTACATTCACTTGCTGTCACAAGTAAAATTAACCCAACAATTTGTCCTCCCATGTTTACATGGGAGGCTGGCAGTGGTTCAGCTGAAACAGATCCAATTCTGAAAAGCAAAGCACAAATAAGGTAGAACTGTCAGACAAGCCACTGTTCCAGCAGAATTACCAGAAACTGCTGTAACTTTAAGATTAACCATTTGTGTGCTAATTCACATTGAAAGAGGAAGCCAAAATATACTCACTGAAAAGAAGCAACAAGTATGCAAAAGTTTGAGCAAACAGTTACACTGACATTGCTGAACATTAATTTTCAAGAGAGAAATTAATGTTGCAGGAGAACAGAGGCAGTCAGGGTTTTCACCTTTATTTCTATGAAATAAAATAGTCCTGTGGAACAGATGGTACCAAGGTGGCTCAATTTCTTACACACAAAATTGTAACTCTGTTTCTTGCTGCCCAAGCTGTGCATTTTTTTTCCACCTGTTTTCCCATACACATTCAAAATACACTTTAAAAAAGCACAGCCTTGAACAATCCTGCCTTTCTAAACCTCAGGTGAGGCTCTGAATCTGCAGTTCATCAGAATAGTTGGGGCAAAATATCCCCAAACTCAGATTCCAGAGTTTGCTGTCCAAAATTCCCCCTAATAAATGGAAAATATTCACAAACAGCCAAGTTATTTGTAAGATTAAATCTCAACATAGATGGCTTTCAAAGAGGATTTTGAAACATCAGCTAAAATAACAAGCTTAAGGCTCAGGCTTTAATCCATGTATTGAGAATGCTTGGGATGGGGGGTGGGACAAAACCTTCTAAGCTTCAATGAGGGAACAGAACCAAGTCCTGAGAAAAGTACACTAAATTTCACTGACCTTTTTCCTGCTTCTTTTGTTCAAGTTTATTTTTCTTAGCTTGCAGTTTCTTCTCTTTTAACTTCTGGCTATAAAGCAAAGAAAAAAGAATCTCTGGCAAATCCAGTGTTGTAAAGCTTCTGCACATTCATGCACTGATAAAGGACATATTACAGACATCTTGGAAAAGCTGATTTCAGAAGAGAAGTTCAATTTAAATTTGGCCTCAACTGAAAATTCAGCAAGACCAAACTTAGCATGTGATCAAGAGAAACTTTTCTATGCTGTTTTCAGATTAATGAATTTTTAAAAAGTCTTTCATGACTCCACTGCAACCAGAACTATGATACATAAGAATCTCCAAGAACACAGATGGAACAAGAATGAAACTGCCCTCGCATTTTATCTACCTAGGCTAATAAACACAGAAAGAAAATGGTGTTAAAACCCAGACTGCAGAAACTGAACACTGGGGGAAAAACACCAGTAATATATCCTACAATTGAAGAAAATCAAAATAGTGCAGTATGCTCTGACCTTCCTCTTTGGCTGTACTTTCCCAGGATGTCAGGCCCTAGGAGTAGCACTGGGGGTAAGAGGGAATCTCAATTCATACAATCCAGCTCTCTTTGCCCAGCAAAGACAACCAGGTAAGTTAATGGCAGATACAGGTAGAGTAGCCTGGCATTCACATGCTCCTCTCTCAACAGCAAAAGTGAATTCTCTTGAAACAGAGAGCCAGGAACTGAACCTGTTGGGTCAGGACAGAGAAGGGTGGTGAGGGAAATTAGAGGGGCTCCTGCAGGGCAAAGTCACACCATTAGAGCATAGCAGGGGGACATGGAAGTGTTGGTGTTTAGGCAGCATCTGCTGTTGGAACAGTTGTTTTCCATCTCAGCCAGGGAAGAGGCAGCAGGCCAGATCTGACTTGCTGGCCATCTGTTGGACCACATTAAATTAAACTAAGATGGCAACAGTGTTTGTGTTGTGCACTTTAGTGTTAACATGGCAGTGAGCCACTTTGCACAGGCCTTTCCACAGCAACTCTCAGCCACAGCATGCAAAACAGCAAGGGAGAGGCTGCTCAGAGTCAGAGCAGAGGCACAATTCTCTGCTTTTTCTGAAACCTATCCTGGACACAGGGAGTGGGATTTCAATTCTTGTGTCACTGCACTAAAATGGCCAGTCTATTTCTTGAGAGCATCAATCTTGTAAGTGTTTAATTTTGTCTAAAATTTAGGGGAAATATGGATTTAATATTTTTTTTAGTATTTCCACCTAACTTATTAGACTTCACCTGCCAGACATTTCAATGGGGTAGGCAGAAGCAGCCTACCCATGAAGCAGCACCCAGTTTTGCACTGAAACTGCTTGGTACCAAATGATTCAGACATAAACTCAAGCCAGATATAGACACAAACCTTTCCTGACACTGTTAAAACAAATATGCAGCAAGGCATGTTGCAGTCAAGACCACAGTGTCAGCAAAAGCAGCTCAACCGGTCCAAAGTTATCCTGCAAGCAATGGCACGGAAAAGAAACCACCCCAGCAAAGCCTGTCAGGTCTACAGCTACCTTGGGAAACCAAACATTGACATTGACAAATTTAATTTCCACAGCCAGACTTCCCAGCTGATAGATGCAGACACAGAATGACAGTGTTTATCCAGAGCATGCAGCTACAGATGAGGCACAGGGAGTGAGGGTTTCCATGTCAAGCCTCCTGGGAAAAATCTGCCCTTACCGCTTCCTTCTGCGTTTTGCTGTTTGCTCTTCTGCAATCATCTTATTCCTCTCCAGTTTCTTCTGGAATTCCTCATCTAGTCTTTGCTGTAATTGATCACATGTCATACTTTGGTCACAATCTAAATTAAAATACTTATTTTAAAAGTCATGTCCTTTTAGGGAGAAGTCTTTTAGCAAAATACAGAAGGGAGCTCTGCCAGATTTCGCCTGGCTTCTTTATACAAAGCGACGTTCCTAGGGATGGCTCCTGTACAGACAGCATTTTTAACCTGCAACCTGAGCCAAACATTGGAACCTTCTGAGGGAGGAATCCTCACCAGAGCAGATGAGGGAGGCTGGGCTTCTGCCCTAATTAACGTTTCAGTAAAAACAAATGAATAACTGGAGACACAAACATTAACATACGGGCTCATCTCAGCCAAGAGAGAGTATATCAATAGTGTTTTCTAAAAGAGGGGGCATTCTACTCAATCAGGACTTAAAAGAAACATCTGAACTCTGTGCACAGGCACTCACTTTGTTTCTGTTTGTGCAAGGCAGTGTTATCAAGGATTTCTAGCTTTTAAAGCATTTTCAAGTCAGCCTGAGAACACACACATTCCCATGAGGCCTTACAGCGTGCTAGGACCCCAGGGAACACAGGAGATGGAGCACGTCTGACACAAAGCACCAAATGTTTCAGTACTGACACAGACACCACAGATCACACACTCCTACAGACTCCTCTGACAAGGGAATTATTTGTACATGACTTTCAAAGAAAACACAGATTTGCAAAGAGCAACAAACAGCTGGGGTAGGGGGGAGTCATAAAGGGCTGTGCTGACCTTCTCAGCCATGGCATCCATGAAATCTTGCCTCTGGTACTCTCGCCGACGGAGGTGCCGGTACACGTGGAACTCCCCGCTCCCAGCCCCAGCACTGGAACCTGCAACAAGGGAGAGCTCAGTCTGCTAGGAAAGGAGGGAAATAGATGTTCACAAATCACTGCAGCTGGACACTGAGGGATGGGACACAGGAAAGGGCACTGTCAGATGAAAATCTACCAACAGCACACAGAGTGTGTCACCATTTTAAACTCAGCTCACAAGCAAAAGCAGAGTGAGCTGCAAACCCACACATTTTTGGGTCACTGCAGGTCCTACGATTGCAGAGCCCACCCTTAGCTGCACAACAAGGCAGGCAAAGAACTGGAGATGAAATGCACTCCACAATTTCTTACAGGCAGAGGTGAGCTACAATACCCTGCTGATGTTGCTTCCAACTAATTTTCAGCATTTCTCAAATATAAAATAAAGGTCAACGGAAAGGTGGTAAAAGGTGATCTTGTACTTTCCCATGCAAAACAGATCCTCTGACAGTTTTCAACTGTTTCTTCATAAATTAAACTCCTACAGCTCTCTCTTCCTGGCATCAGCCTGCATGCTGAAGCCTTGCAGGAGCTTTAGGCATCGTGCTCCACTCTCTTCCCCTGCCTCCCAAGCCCTTTCTCAAGGGAAAGCACAGGAATACAAACCTCAAAGAAAACACCTAATTAAAACCCAGCAGCTGGGACTGCAACAGGGGTGCTCTTGATACCAACAGAGTCCTAGCATGTCAGGTACCCCCAGAAAAATGAGACCATTCACTCAAGCACATAGCAGACCTATTTGAAAAAGCCATGGGAGAATTACTATAAGCAGATTTTATTCAGAAGCATATAAAAACTTGAGTCCAAGATCAATTATTCTGAAATAAGAACAGGTCAACCTCTAGAAAGGATGGAGGTCTCAGAGAAAGACAGAACTTCTACGTGCAGTTTATACCACAGCAGCTCCATTTAATCCCTGCAGGTAGAAGTAAAGTGTACACAGAGTACTTGGGTCAGGGTCCTGGCACAGCTGCCAGCTCCCTACCTGAGCACACACATTCACACCTGCTGCATGTGCCTGCTTCTCACAGCCTGAGGTGCAGGCTCAAAGCAGTCAAAAGAAGGACTTCACACTGCCAATCTTCCAGAGCACTCTCAGATCCATGGAGAGGACAGATTTACTCATCATCATTTACTTGTCATCACCAGAGCAGCAGCTTATTGCACTGCAGGCAGCCCACGTGCTGCAGTGCCACAGGCTTTGTTCTCTCTGCATTCTGACAGCCAGCAAAAAAGTGGAATCAGAGAACCAAATAAAACTTGAAAAATCAACTCTCAAAGCACATTTCACACCTCTCTTCTCCAGCAAAATGAGCAGCAGAAAACCACCTCTGTCCTTCCCTGCTAAACATTTTTTAAAGTTAATTGTGACTGATACCAGAGTTATCTGAAGAACAGAATCTTTACCCATGACATCTCTAACGAACTCCGGGGGAGGTCGAGGTGCCCATTCATTCAGTTTTTCAGGAATTGGTACAGTCTTTTCCTGCAAGAACAAACCAAGCAGCCATCAGTATCTTCCAGGAGCAAAGTCTGCAATTTTAACACTTTGTTGAAAGGCGGGATACGTCTGACAACAGCCTCTTCCACCAACTGACAGATCTCAGAAGGAGCACAGCTGCAGCAATTTCTTCATGCACAGGGATCAGGAGCAGGCAGAAGAGGAGAATCAGAAGGGATCCTCTCTGTCCCTCACATTCAGGCCTGCAGGTCAACAAACCCCAGGAGGATTAGGAGTGTCTGTGCCTCTTTTCAGCATAGGAGCTAGAAGGAAGCATGTCAGCACCTCCAAGCACTCGCAGGAACTGGTATAATTCCACTACCAGGTCTGGGAAATGATGAAAGGTGTTTGAGCACCTCCCATGCCAGAGCTAGAGGACAGGGAAGAGCAGGGGAGGGAGAACACATGGTGCAAGGTCAGAGGAAGAATGTGCTGCAGGGAGTCTCAGCCTGCTCCAGCACACACAGAGCGGGGGCTGAGTCTCCTCCTGGCAAAAAGCTCCTCAGGAAAGGAACAGAACACCCAGTTAGAGGACCAGGGTCATGCTCCTGCACGTTAAAAGCGGTGGACAGAGGAAAAAGCAGCGGGTAGAACACTGAGGGGCCCCTGGGTTCCCAGAGAAGCGTGTTTCCCCTCACAGCATCCCAGAAAAGACGGGTCCTTCTCCCCTCACAGCAATACAGTGTGTGGGGGGGTCGGTCCCGCTCCCCTTGGGGACCCGGCAAGGAGGAGGGGGGCGTGTGTCGATCCCATCATGGAATCGGGAAGGAAAAGGGGGGATTGGCTGGTCCCTCTCTCTTCACAGACCCCCGGGAGGGGGTGTCGGTTCCTCTTCCCTCACGGACATGGAGAGGAGAGAGGGGAGGTTGGTCCCTCTCCCCTCACGGACCACGGAGGAAGGGAAAGGGGGTGTTAGTCCCTCTTCTCTCACAGAGCCAGAGGTGGGGTGTCCCGGCGTCCTTCTCCCCTCACAGACACCGAGAGGGTACCAGTGTCCCTCTCACCTCACAAACACCGAGGGTGGGGGGCTCGGTGTCCCTCTGCCCTCACAGACCCAGGGGGTGGTTGGGGTGGGGGGTCTCGGCTTCCCTCTACCCCTCACGGATCCCGCGGGGATCTCAGCGTCCCTCTCCTCTCCCGCCGCCCCGGGCCGTGCCCCGGAGGGTGCCCTCACCGGGTTCCTCATGAGGCGCTCGAGGCGGAGGCGCTGCTCCTCGGCCGCGCTCCTGGGGATGACGAGCGGCTGCGGCTCCTTGCGGGGCCGGGGCGGCCGCGGGGCCGAGGGCGCCGCCATGTTCCGGCCCTGGCCGCGCCCCGCCCCTCCCGTGACGTCACGGCGCGCGACGCGGGCGGCCCCGTCATGGCGGGTGCGGTGAGGGCCGGGCAGAGGCGGGAGCTGTGTGGGGGACTCCCGTGTGAGGGAGCCACGGAATTGAGTCTGTGAGGGGGCAGGGACACCGAGGAAACCCCTCTGGGGTCATCGAACCCAACTTCTGCCCTGTCACCACCCTGTCATCCAGAGCACTGAGTGCTACAAGTCGTTTCTTGAACATCTCCACGGACAATGACTCCACTACCTCACTGGGCAGCCTGTGCCAATATCTAATCACCCTTTCTGTGAAGAAATTCCCCCTCCTAATGTCCGTACCCTGCAGCCTGGACGGAGGCTGAAGGCAGAGTCACCAAACTGTGTAGTTGGAAGGGCCCTCTGTAGATCAGCCAATCCAGACCCCCTGGCAAGGCAGGTGACACAGGAATGTGTCCAGGCGGATTTGGAATATCTCCAGACAGGGACACTCCACCGCCTTCCTGGGCAGCTTGTCCCAGCGCTCTGCCACCCTCAGTGGGATTCTTTGAAGGCACAGTCACAGAACAATGGTTCAGGTTGGCAAGGACCATTGGGGTCACCCAGTCCACCTCCCCCTAATCCAGCACAATCCCCTGAGCATGGCACTCGGGGGCTTTTGGGGACACCCCACACCCTGTCTGTGCAGCCTGTGCTAGTGCTTGATCACCCACACAGTGAAGAAGTTCTTCCTCATAGAATCACAGGATAGTTTGGGTTGAAAGGGACCTTAAAGATCTTCCTATTCCAAGCCCCTGATGTGGGCAGGGATGCCACCCACTAGACCAGGCTGCTCAGAATTCTCTCCTACCTGGCTTTGGGCATTTGCAGGGATGCAGCAGTCAAAGAGTTTCTGGGCTTTCTGTGCTGGAGCTGCACCACCTTCACAGCAAAGAATTTAATCCTAATACCTCATCTAAACCCACCCTTTCCATTTGAAGCAGTTCCCCCATTTGTCAGTACAAATTTGTGTTCAAAGTCCTTCTGCATCCTTCTGTCCATTTGGGCACTAAAAGGCCACAATTAGATCACCCTGAAGCCTTCTCTTTTCCAGGCTGAACAATCCCAGTTCTCTCAGCCTTTCCTTGTAGGAGAGGTGCTCCACCCTGCCAATCCTCTGGTCTTCTCTGGGCTCACTCCAACAGGCCCCTGTCTCATTTTTGGGTGGAACTGCCTGTGCTCCAGCCTCTCGTGCCATGGCTCAGCACCACTGAGGAGGGCCTGGCTCCAGCCTCCCTCAGACACTCAAAAACTCAGATACAGCTTGTTCCCTGCATCACTGCTCCCATGTCCCAGCTGTGGCCATGCATCCTGCTCCTGCCCAAGCTGCGTTTGCTGAGCTCTGATGTCCCCTGTCCCCTCACACAGCTTCTCAGGGCTGCAGGCTGTCCCCAGCAGGCCGCATTAGCGAGGCAGCTCCGGCATCTGCCGCGCTCTGTCCAGCAGAGCCTGAGCAGGGTGAAAATTCAGTGTGTTTTTCACTGGTGCCCTCAGCCCTGCCAAATCCCTTCCCTGTGAGGGTGTAAGCGATACAGCACTTCCTGGTGCCCCCGTGGCAGGCTGCCTGCGCCATCTGTTCGTGTCACTTTGGTCATTAACCAGCGTGGCCCGTGGTCTTTGTCTGCTGACAGTGATGAACGGCAGCAGCGCTCCCCACAGCACCGTGTGGGCAGGTAGCAGGGGGGGAGATGCTGTGCTGTTTGTGAGAGGAATAGAGGATTTGTCTTTACAAACAAGCTGTGGGTCTGCTGGTAGATAAAACTAGCTCTGGGAGATAAAAGAAACAATGGGAAGGATTCCATTCCAAAAAGATATTTGCTTTTACAAATAAACTTTAGGTTTGCCGATAAACGAAATTAGACATTGAGAGATGAAAGAAACAATGGGGAAGAAAAGCCCTAAATTCCATAAGAATTAAAAATTAAAAGGGAGGGTTATGTATTAGAGGGAAATCTTTGGTATCAGGCGTATTGGGAAGTCTGTACCTCTCAAGTACCTGAGCCAATGGGGAAAGAGAGAAGAGAAATGTGGCTGGGAAATGAGGATAAAAAGGAGGCTGCGTCCTCCAAAAATTCGAGAGATCCCAGAGGAATGCTCCATGGCCTCTCCCTTTATTGGAATAAAATAAAGGACTCCTCTGTCTCCTTTTTGGACATAAACCTCTGGTGTTTGTCGATTAATTTTCCTAACATTTGCATCCATATTCACACCTGGGGTTTGCAGGAACAGCACTTGGATGAGCTGAGGGCTGCTACACCCAAATCCAGGCTTGCCTGACGGAGCTGGAGGAAGCCATGGTGGGGAAGAGGAGCCAGAGCTGGCTGCAGTACAGGCCTCCACTGCAAGCCAAATTTCATTTCAAGTCGCTGTGGCCCTACAGAAATGGCATGGCATGTGCTGGGGCTGTGTGTGCGTCACAGAATTAGCCAGTAAAGGTCAGCTGCAATGGAAGAGGGGCATAAGCCTTTGTGCAGTTTATGGAGATAAGCCAGAGCCGGGAAGTTGGGCTCTGGGTTTCAGACAGCTTCGTGCTGTGCATGTGGAGAGGGTGACAGAAAGGGGAACAGAGAGGTTGGGAATGGCTCCTTCTGAGATTTATAGTGCATTTGTATGGCCTGAATTTATTAAGCCTCCATTCTCTTCCCCTTTCTGTGGAGAAAATCGGAGCTGATCCTCAGGTTCAGCCCTATGTTTACAAAAGACTTTTCAACCTCCGCTGAGGTTGCTATGGAAATCACACTAGTTTGTGTCTCGTGTTTTTCTTACCAACCTGATTTGTAAAAGAATGGTGTGAATTTAGTGCTGGCTGAGTTCCCAGCTGGCCGCTGGTCCTGGAAGGCATCCTTGCAGTCTCAGCCCTGGCTGGAGCAATGCAAACAGCTTCTTCCACGCTGTCTGCCAGCTCCCCAGCTCCTGTGCCTGCGGCTCTCCCAGCCTTGGGTCGTCTTCAGCACACCAGGACAGAAACCATCCAGTGCCAGGCTGGACTCAGCCCTGCCAGGGAGACACCAGCTCTGTTGCAGAGGCCACGGCAGGTCCCCTGTCCCCTCTCTGTCACCACAGACTGTTTCACAAAGCAGAATTGCTGCAAACTGACTGAGTTTCCTCTGCTGAGTCCTAAGCACATCTAATCCCTAACATTTCACTCTGTTTCTTCCTCACAGCCACTTCTGCAAACACCCATCTTCCCACAGCAGGGCTGTGAATGATGAGCTGCCAGGACTTGGCCCTCCCGTGCCAGTCCCCATGGGAGGAAGGCAGAATGGCAGCCTGAGGACTGCAGGGAGCAGCTGGACTCACTTGCCCAGAACGTGGCTTGTTCCAGCCACAGCTCACAGCCCCAGGAAACAAACAGGCAGCTGCCTGTCATCAGGCAGAGCCCCTGCAAACTGTGGGGCAAGAGACCTGGGAACATCTCAAACTACAGTCGAGGGAGTTGGTGCAGACTCTTGGTGTATTCTGCACGATTTACTTAGAAAAAATCTGGGGAGGGGGGGGCAAGACAGTTACTTAAGTCATATAAAAATAGAAAGTATTTCATCAAAACACAAAGCCCACAAAATCAAAGTGCTGGGCTGGGATCTGGGCAGGACTGGGCTTACTGGGGTCAGCAGATTTGCATTAGAACAGGGCAGTGTTTTCATAGGTCAGTGCTAACAAAACTCAGCTCCCTGATCTTTATCAAAGAAGCTCATTTGTGTTTCTGAGGAGTTCTCCTACCAAAGGGATCCTTCTGGAAGCACTGCAATCCTTTGCTGAGACAGAACCTGCACGTCAGGCAGGAGCAGCCGTGGAGCTCCAACACCCACGAGAAACGTGGGCAGCTGCACTGCTGAAATCCCTTTGCATTTTTGTCCTGTTCATGGTGTGTGCCAGGGCACAGCTCAGCACCAGCATCCCTGCAGCCCAGTCCAGCATCCCTGCAGCCCAGTCCTTCTCCAGCCCTGGGCAGAGGGCACTGCTGGCATGGAATCCAGCCCACACGCTGCCGAGGCTGCTTTCCCCTTGTTTCACCATCAAATCTCTGCATTCGATGCTGTTTTGTCCTCCCCCTGCCCTTCCAGACACCCTGTGAAAGGAAAGGGATGTTTTCCAGCAAGACTGATGCTGTAATTAGTCAATTTGCTAATAAGCTGAGGTGTGAATGGCTTTCTGTGAGGCAGGAGGAGCAGCTGTCCCCAGGCACAGCCCTCAGTGTCACCTCCCCAGCTGCCCAGCTCCTGATGGATGAGCTCTCCAGGAGCGGTGAAAAGGCTCTGGTGACTTTTGGGGAGGGAATGTTTTTGTGAATGGATCATGACACAACCATGGCCTGATTACCGAGCTGAGCAGCTCCCTCCACCCCCCCAAAAGCCATGTGTTAGCTGCGTCTGTCACTGCTTAGCTGTCACAGTACAGTCTGGGACAATGCTCCAGTTTTCCCAGGGGATTCTCAGCAGAAAAGAGCACACTAGAAAGACATACAACGTCAGAACATGAGGCACAGTCTCCCAGGAGAGATGGAGGCAGAGGAGGAGGAATGACAGGCCATGGGAGATGCTAGCACAGGCCTTTAGCGAGGGAGGGGCATCTTCACAGCCCAGGGCTGCTCATTCCCCATTATCCGCTGCTGCTCGGGGGATGGACCATTCTGACTTGCACTACTGACTAACCAGACAAAGTAAATAACAGGCTGGAAGGAGAGGAAACCCTGTCCTCTACAGCCTGGACCCACCCTCCTCCTCCCTCTGCTCAGCAGAGAACTCTCCTCTCCCTCCTCTCAGTGCACTCCAGCAGGCAGAGACAGACCCAGCCTGGCTCCAACTGCCCAGAGATACCAATGAGGTCTGCACACATGAGACATGACAGCATCCTCCCTCTGTTTTTCCTTTTTTTTTTTTTTGGTAGCAAATCCAGCAAAGCCCCAAGCTCTTGCTCACATGCTGTTGTTTTTGCAAGTGATTTTATTTTAAAACCGGAACTCGAGTTCTCCATTTTTTTAACAAGTCCCCCCCTCCCCTTTCTTTTTTTAAATAAAATTAATTTATTCTACACAACAGTAAACTCTTCCAGACTCTTCCCTATTTACAAATTAACATTTTTTGCTTGCAGATCATCGCTTCCCCCTCATTTTCCTATCCTGTGACACAGAAAGTGAGAAACAAAGCCAAAATCTGAAGGTCTATAAGGCAGTGCTCCCATCCAGCCTTCTGGATCCCACCCTTGGGGCCTCAGGGCAGAACCAGAGTGATGATATTTGTGTCAGATCTGGACATCTCCCCTCATCTACCATGTGTGTTAAACCCATCAATCCAGAGCATCCAGCCTCTCCCTGCTCCTCTGAGCTGTGCTGTAGCTGGGCTGAGGAAGGAGAAATTCCCTCAACAGAGCAACCTGCTCCTGCTGCCCTCTGAAGGGAGGTGTGTTTGGGGAGAAGGTGGCATTTGCTGCAGGAATGGGATCCACCAGGATCATCTCACACATCCAAGGGCCAGAAAGGCAGCTCTCACATCACAGGAGGAGCCTTAGAGACACCTCCCCTCTCCTCCTGTGAGTCAAGCACTGGGGACATGCTTTGCTAGCTCAGGAAAGAAGGCACCTAATAAATAAAAATTTGGCCCAACCCAATTCCAGGCAAATTCAAGGGGTTTTTTTGAGGTTGTGGCTTGGCTTGTACCTCTTTGAACTAAGTGATAACTTCTAGCAGCAGGTGTCCTGGTGCTGGGTAACACAAGCTGTGTCAGCCAAACCAAGGGGGATGTGCAAACACTGTGTCTGCAAGCAAAGCTGCCCTTCTGAAGCAACTCCCAACTCCCATGAGGCACAAACCCTGGCCTGTAAAAAAACCATCCTCAGGGCTTCCCTGGCCTGTTGGAAAAGAATCAATGTAGTGTTTTTATTGCTGGGAGCCCAGCCAGGCAGGAATACCTGCTTTTACCTGCAAAGCAAAGCTGTCCCTCACCTCTGGACACAGCCCCTGGTCTCTGCCTGACCCCCCAAAACATCCCAAATGACCAAAACTGATGTAAAGAGGAAGTGTTGTCATATTTCCCAAGGTTTGCCTTGAGCAATGGAAAATATTGCCCAGCTGTGGCAGAGAGCAGGCAGAAGGCTGATGCCCTTGTGGAGAGCTTAGGTTTTGAAAAATCAAGGAAGAAAGGGAGGATGAAAGGGTATCCAGGGATTCTCTGTTACTACAGCAAGGAGAGAAAGGAAACAAAGGGACAGAAAAAGCAGGACAGCAGGAAAACCCTTCCTTGAATGCAATTCATTAAGCTTTGAGCTTTGGACAAAAACCTTCTTCTGTCAGAGGGTAGGAAACACCTGCCCCAGAGGGAGCCCAAAAGCCAGCCCAGAAAAACCCTCAGGCCCTCTGAGTGCTCCATGTGTGTGGGAAGAGTTTCTGCATGGACATCTGACACACTTCCATGCTCATCCCAGCATGCCAGAGTCCCTTGGCAGCTGGTTTGCAGGGCACTGGTGCCAGAAGGATGTTGGCCATGCTGGGCTCTGGCCCCAGAGGGGACACGGTGCTTTGGCTGGAGGATGGAGCCTGTCACAGCTTCGGGTGCCATCCCACAATGGTCACACCCAGGAGGAGATGCAGGGAGCCCAGCTCAGCCCTGGGAAAGAAAGCTCTTGGTCCGGAGGGAAGGAGAAGAGGCTGCAAGCTCCAAAATGGCACTGACTCTGAATTTCAGCCTCCCACACCGCCAGCACTGCCCCAGCCACGGGGCTGGCACCAGGTCCAGCAGGGACATTGCCCAGCACTGACACAGGGCATTGCCCAGCACTGCAACTGCTCAGGACTGACACAGCTCAGGACATTGCCCAGCACTGACACAGCTCCCACAAGCCCCAGGGAGTGAGGAGCACATCCCATCCCGGCTGGGTGGCTGGTGGTGCAGGAGGAGGTGGCGAGGCCGGTGCAGGGTGAGGGGCACGGCTGCCCCGCAGCCCCCCATGCACGGGGGGCTCAGTAGAAGGAGTACTGGTTTTCCACGGCCCGGGTGCGGCTCCGGGCGCTGTCAGCCTCGTGGTAGTCCTCGGCACCGGCGGCAGAGGGCTCCGGCCGGCGCTCGGCGCTGTCGCTGCGGCTCCGGGGGCCCAGGGCACCCTCCAGGCGGTGGTAGGGTGCGGGGACCGGGACAGCGGGGGCCACGGGCACCCCGCCCTCGGCGGGCGGCGGCACCGGCGGGCCCGGAGGGGCTGTGCTGCAGAAGTAGTGTGGAGGTGGCAGGTCGACCCGGCAGCCCGGGGGCTGTGACACCAGCGGTGGCGGGGGACCGGTGTCTGCAAAGGAAACAGGAGCTTGATCCCTCCTGTGCTGCCTGCGGGCTCGGCCCCCTCCCTCTCTGGTACCTTCCCACACCCCCTCTCCATCCCTGACCCTTTTCTTCTCCAGTTCTCCTTCCTGCTCTCTCCTGGCATAGCAGGATGCTCTGAGCCTGCAGACATCTCTGCTCCTGTCCTGCCCGAGCCAGGGCACTGTCACCCACAGCCAGGGATGGGTCACAGGGCACTGTCACCCACAGCCAGGGGTCACAGCCAGGGCACTGTCACCCACAGCCAGGGACAGGGGTCACAGGGCACTGACACCCACAGCCAGGGGTCACAGGGCACTGACACCCAGACTGGCACAGGGGTCACACCAACACAGCCCTGCTGCTGCCTGGGCCTCAATGCCCACCCTCCAGTGGGTGACACCCACCCTGGCACACCTCCAGAGCCACACCCATCAGCAGGGCACTGCTTTAAGGAGGGAATCCCACGGATCTGTCCCTTTTCAGGCACAATATCCCAGTCCCCGCCCAGCCTGGCACCCACCTGGCTGCGGGCTCTGTGCCACCACGTAGCTGCGCAGGGTGATGTCGGCGGCGCCGCCCGACTCCAGCGGGATGGGGTGCGTGTGGAAGTGGCGCAGCATGTCAAAGATGGTCTGGAACCAGAGGTGCTGCACGTGGCACTGCCCGCTCTCGTTCAGCGACAGCCGCAGGTGCTGCAAGTGCAGGGGGCACGGGGTGAGCTGGGGGTGGGAGGGTGAGACTCACCCTTGCAATCTGCACCTCCATCAGCCAAGGGAGGTTTGCTCCAAATAGGGTTGTTATGTTTACCCTGCTGCAGGGTGTTTCCTGTAAAACCTCACTTTTACCTCACTGAAGCCCCAGGAGGAGTTTGACCCCTCCTGGGGATGAACACCATAAAGAAACACACAGACAAGGGTGTCTGGGTATAACCAGGGGCAGCTGAAGCTCTGATTCTGGGGTCACAGACAGCCTGGGGAAGCCTCCAGCCCACCTGAACTACTTCTTGCAAGGTGACAAGAACAGGCAATCTCTGCTGGAAAAGGGACCCATCAAAAACCTGCTTGTGGTTGGTTTTTCATAGGGAATCTGTGTATTTCAGGATGTGGAACACACAAGGAGCGGGCAGGGGAACAGGCTACACTGAGCCCCCATGGGTATTTATCCATATGCTCACATGACAGGCACTGATCCAGTTGGGAAAGTGTAGAAGGGGCTGGCCAGGATGCAGAGGGGTCTTGGGGCACAAGGGCAGGTGGTCCTGAGGGAGGGGTGCAGCTCCCTGCAGAGCTGCTGCATTTGGGGTCACCCACAGAGCAAGAAGAAATCTGAGGTGCTGGGCAGGGCTGGCACTAACATGTTGGGGAAGATGAAACAGGAAAGCCTTATAAATATGATTGTCTGGCAAAAGATTTTGAGAATATAGAAACTATAAGCAAGACTGAAATGAAAGCAAGCTTTGAGATCCCTTAGTTACTGAACAACTGGAAAACAATGGTGTGGCCAGCTGAAGGTGATCCCCTTTTGATGTAACAACACCCTCTGCTTGCAGACAGCCCCAAGGGTCAGAGCAGACCCTACAGCTTGGCAGAAGGGGCCCAAAGAGGAGGTTTTAGGGTTTAAAATGTAACACAGTATGGTAATGTAATGATTCTTACAGGCTGTATGTAAATGCTATAGGGTTTGTATCTTGTACTAGATTGGTGAGTGAGAATTAGAATATTCAACACAGAAGGATTTATTGTATTGTAACGGGAACTTCGCTCTCTTACCCTTTTACTCTCTTATGTTCTTACTCTCTTACCCTCTCATCTTCCCTACCCCTCTCTCCTCTCAGGTCTGCTCTGAGCTGTGGCTGGCAGCTCCCAGCAGGGCCCTGCACCCAGGCCCTTTGCAATAAACCCCAAGTTCCATGACCTGGCTTCAGAGATCTCTCATCTCCGTCCATCCCCACCATCCTACCCCCGTCGCTTCTACACTAATATTCACAGAGAAGCAGAGGACAGGGAGGAGCAGAGGACAGGGAGGAGCAGAGGACAGGGAGGAGCAGAGGACACCCACCTTGGCTTTGCCCTGGAAGTTGAAGGTCAGCACGTACTCCCCTGGCCGTGTCTCGCTCTGCCGGATGACGAACAGGCCGTGGCTGCGGGTGCCCCCGAACAGCACCAGCTGGGCTGCCTTGATCCGGGACAGAGTCCCGTGGAACCAGGGGAAGTCAGACAGGTTGATCTCAGCCTCGGCCTCGCTGTCCTCCCCTGCCCACAGGGACAGCAGGTTTTTAGGGAGCACCTGAACATCACCCCCCCTCCTCCTCTCCCTCTGCGCACCCTCCAGAGTGAGATGGGTGCTGATCCTGCATGCCAGTACCTGTGAGGTGCCCACCAGCGGTGGGGGAGGACTCCAGAGTCTGCAGGAAGTTCTCCAGTGGGACGTGAGTGAGGAGCTCCCCCAGGGAGTCCCTGCCCCGGCCTGGGGGCACAGGGACAGAGGTGGCCATGGCAGCGTTGTGAGAGCTGGGCAGGGCACATCTGTCTGGTGGCCTGGGTACCTCTGGAAGGGAGATTGCAGAGGGATGAGTGCATGGCTTAGCATCACTGGGCAAAGCTGGGGGCCGTCCTGCTCTGCAGGCAACTGTGCTGGATTCTCCTGGAATTCTCCAGGAGACACCTGAGGGCTAGCTTATGGCTCTGAGGGAGTCCCAGACTTTCCCAGATGTAGTTCCTTACCATCATTCAGGAACTCGCAGCTGGACGAGGTTGTCCTGCCTGGCAGACAGGGCCCCTGTGCACAGGACACCAGCTCAATGTCATCCCCACTGTCCCTGGAGGAGAGCACAGAGACACACACATGTGGCACCTCCATTCACTGGCATGGAATGGGGATTACACCGAACAAAATTCCAGTGTGATCCAAGAGCACATCCTATTGCCCCTGAATTACTCCCAAGGGGTTGTCACTGCACCAACAGCATTGAGAGACAGAGCAGCCACCAAACATGACTTTTTGGGAGTGAGAAACCAGCGTGGGAAGGATGAAACCCTTGAAAGCCCACACTGCACAGGTCATGCTGGTCAGTTCCAGCTGCAGGATTTTGCTGCAGGATTTTGTGGGTTTGGAAGGAAAGCTGTTACCTTAGCTCTCAGTGCTTTGCTTTGCACCCACACACCTTCCCACCCGAGGGCGCTTTCACTCTCACCCTCTGCAAAGGGAATTACCCACCCACAGGAATTACATCCCTACAAGACATAAACCACTAAGTCAGGAGGCCTGGAGCAAGGCAGCAAGCGGGAATAGAGCCAGGGAGCCACTCAGAACATCCCTGTTGCCAGCCCTCCCCGTGCACTTCAGCACCCTTCTTGCACAAGCATCCAACTTGCTCCACATCCTATTTTTATCCCAGCCACCAGCAAGAGCCCAGAGCTGCCCACAGCACTCGGCAGCTCTTGCTTCACACGGGCCATGTGGGCACAGGCACCAGGGGAAGATGCTGAATTATTTAGTGGCCAGCGAGTGAATCAGCCATTGGGAGTCATTCAGCTGCAGCCAGTTAAAAACAAGAAGGGAGGAAGGAAACCAAAACCAACAGAACTCTGCAGAAAAGCCGTGGCTGGGCGCTCAGGCAGCGGCTCCAGCACGCAGCCCTTGGCAGGAGCATCGGGAGCTGATTGAGAATTCGCTCTTGGTGCCCGGCGTGTGTGGCGGTGTATTAAACAGCTCATTATTATTTGCTCTGCAGTTCATTATTATTTGCTTTACAGTCACGTCTGGGGGCCAGAGCGGGCTGGTGCTGGGTGCTAAGCAAACAGAGAGGCTGGGAGGCTGCCAGGGCCAGAGCCAGGGCCAGGGGCAGGCATGGGGACATCGGCAGCTCCTGCGGTGCAGCACAGCCATGGTGCTCAGCTCCAGCTGGGAAACCAGCACTGAAACATGGACTGAGGGGAAAAAAAGGCCTTTTCCCAGCTTTGGTTCAGCAGCCCAGCCTCAGCAGTGCTTCTTCAGTAACAGAATCGGAATGGTTTGGGTTGGAAGGGAATTTAAAGCTCATCTTGTTCCATCCCCTGCCATGGGCAGGGATGCCTTTCACCAGCCCAGGTTGCTCCAAGACCTGTCCTTGGGTGCTTCCAAGGATGGGGCAGCCACAGCTGCTCTGGGCAATCCATGCCAATGAATTACAGATTTCTGAAAACAGCAAAAGGAGCAAAGACCTGGAGTGCACCAGTGCATCCTCCACGGTGACCAAGTGCCTCTCGCTAGCAGGAGGGGCCAAAGGCAGCCTGGAGGGAGCAGGAGCCTCTCCAAGCCTCTGTTCCACATTTGAGTGATGTTTTCATTGCTACAAGCATGAGCACCTGGATTTTCCAAAACTGTGCCAAGAAAGGCAGTGCCAGGGTTTCCCCAAGGCTGGGGCTGTCTGAGCCAGCTGAAGGGCAGCAGCACCAGGCACACAAACCTCCCTGACACAGCTTGCTGCATGTGCTGGTGAAACAGCAGATGAGAAGTTTTGGCTGAGTTATGACTCCAATGACAACACTGATGCCACTGTGACAGAAATACAAACAAATCAATTCAATCAGCAGAATCTTAAATATATCATGGATGATAAGCTGGAAAAAACCATGGAAAATAGCTCAAATATGGTATAAAAGATTCAGAAGGTGGGTGTTAGGAGCTTCCTGCTTTGAGGCTGTGTTTCCAGGTCACTGGCCTCTGCCAGGCTGAGGGGACATGGGGCAGAGAAGGGTGAACAAGTGGCCAGTCTCTGCATCCCTGGCAGACACAGGCTGCTAACTCTGCCTCCAGACCTCTGCTGCTGTGAGCTGGGCACTTCCTGTGATAACCCAAGCGGCAAAAATTGCATCTGGGTAAGAGCCCGTGCTCAGGCACCAGAGCTCAGCCCCACAGAGCCCCTCCCCAGCAATCCTTACCCAGGGTCGATGCAGTCCTGGATATCAGCCACCCACGAGTGCTTCTGCAGGGAGTCGATGGTCTCCAGGATGTACTCAGCCCCATTCTCCACCTGCAGGCCATGTGGGATGGAGTCAGCTGTGCCAGGCTGCTGCCCCCCACCCCGAGGCAAAACACACCCCCAGAGCCCAGCCAGACCCCCTGAACAGCACCTCAGCTCAGCAGGACAGGATTGGTGTCCATCCCAGCACAGGGGTGACCCAGGGGATCAGTGTCCCACCCCATCCCAGCACAGGGGTGACCCAGAGGATCAGTGTCCCACCCCATCCCAGCACAGGGGTGACCCAGGGGATCAGTGTCCCACCCAATCCCAGCATAGAGGTGCCAAAGGATGACCCAGGGGATCAGTGTCCCACCTTATCCCAGCACAGGGGTGACCCAGGGGATCAGTGTCCCACTCCAGGGGTGACCCAGGGGATCAGTGTCCCACCCCAGCACAGGGGTGATAAAGGGTGACTCAGAAAGATGCATCCAAGATGACCCCTGACCAAATCTAGGGCTCAGAGGAAAACCCCACTGCACCATATCAGCAAATACAAGTTTTTTTACAAGGTTTCTACAGCCTCCATGGAAAAAACGCACCTGGCTGGCAGCATTAGGGTACGTGGCACTATGCCCAAGCACAGACAGCATCCCTCACTCCTGGGGCACCTCTGTGTCCCTCAAAACTAGCTCTGCACAGGTATAGCAGAAGCCACACTGCTCTCTGCACCACAACCCTGTCAGACCCCAGGAGTTTTAAGCCTCTCCTCCATTATCTTTTCTGCCTGCTGGTCCATGAGGCTTCTGACTTCTGATTGCAACAGAGTGGGAGACAAACCCCCTTTCACAGGGAAAAAATAATAAATAACAATTTAGGACACAAAAGAGCCTCCAAACTGTCCAGCCCAAAGGAACTGTGCCATTCTGGGGCCAGGCAGAACCAGAAGCTCCACATCAGTGGACTCAGATGCCATGGGATGCTTTGTGCCTCTGGCAGGTTTCCCTGCATCCCTCATGGAGCCTTAAACATCGTGTTCCCGAGGTGGCAGAGCAGCCCTGACTCTGGGAGAGTGTCACATTGCCAGCTGAGACAACCTCCAAGCAAATTCAATTAATCACAAACAACTGAATCACCATCCTGAAAATAAGCAGGGAGGGCAGAGAGCAGAGCTCTGGCTGGGGCTGAGCAGTGACCTGGACCCTGTCCCCAGCAGAGGTGGAGGGGAGTAGCAAAGTTCCCCCTCCCCAGTTTGTTTAACTTCAGAAAGGATCTTCTCTGGCTTTTTGAGGGCAAGGCATGAAGCTGACGTGGGAGATGGGGCTGCTCACTCATGCAGAGCATGACAGCAAGCAAAGCACGTGCAGGGCTTGGGTATTTTGCAAGCACCTGCTTGTGCAATGGAAAAAACTGCATGTGCTTGGTGTCTGATGGGCTCTGGGGACACACTGGCTGCTCATTTTTAGGCAATCTGGCAGGAACTATTTCAGTGTGGCCTCCCCAAACAAGGCAAGGGCTTTTCCAGCCATAGTAACATCCCTAAATGAGGCAGGGGCTTTTCCACCCATCAAAACCTGTGTGTTGTGTGTGAAGGTTGAGATTGGGCTCCACATCACACAGAAAGGGAAACCACAGCACCCAGCTTGCCCACCTAACCTGCACCCCAGCACTGAGGGTGCTTCACCCCCTCTGCAAGTCCAGCCAGCAAAGGGGGAATGGGGGAGCAAAAAGATGTCCCAGCAAGAAGGAGTCAGGCAGAACATGAACCACAATTAGCGGATGTGAGAAAAGAGGAGCAGCATCCTGTGCCAGCAGCTGGGAGGGGAGAGCAAAGCCTGTCTGGGGGGCTCCATGCTGTGCTTGCTGGCTCTGCTCACTCAAAGGATCAATTGTGATCAATTCCCCCATGGCAGGGTGAGAGCCAGGACAGGGCAGGAGCAGGAGGTACCTGGTAAAGCAGGTATTTTCCAGCTGGCAGGGTTTGGAGCATTCCAGAAGTGCATTAAAGGAATGGCTGGAGCAGTCACCAAGCTGTTAGCAGTGGGAATGGAGAGAGCATGTCTGGCTTCAGAAGATGGGAACAGGGCAAGTGCAGAATTTTTCTCCAGCAGCCAGAGAAACCAACCCTCACAGGCACCCAGGAGGCATCCCAGAGCTGAAATCCCCAGAAGGGATCTGTCATGACCAAGCCCATCTGCTCATGCTTGTGACAGCTCCAGGGATAGGGAGAAGCAGTGGCACATCCTGGGTATTGAACACGCTTTGGACAATGATGTGACACATTTGAGGTGGGGCTTGTAAGGGCATCTAGAAAATGTGACAAGAACATGATGAGCCATGTTCCAAGAGCAGAGATTGGTGGCTGATGGGTTGTCAATGGCCAGTGGTCAAAGCTGAGGGATGTGCTCCTTCCCATCAAAGGCTCTCTGTGCCTGCTCCTCAGTGATGAGCACAAAAGGATGCGAGGATACCTCATCAATTCATGGATGACATCACACTGAAAATGTGTTGGAGGACCAGGCAAGAATTCAAATGAACTTGTCAAAGCTGAAGTGGAAGAAGAAGCTGAAACCAGCCTCCAGCTCAAGGACAGGGTGAGCCCTGGGCTCAGAGCGATCACTGTGGGTGTGCGGGCTGGGGAACCACAGCCTGGGAGCAGTTCTGCAGAAACCATCCCAGAGTTACACCAGCCCACAGGCTGCATGTGAGTCAACATCATCATCATCATGGCGTGAGGAAAGCACTGCATCAGCTTGGGCTGGACAGAGAGGAAGAAGAAAGGAGAAGCAATCCTTCCCATCTGCTCTGGGCCATGGCTCCATGTACACTTTGGGGCATTACATCTGTGGAGCCTGCAAGGAAAGCAAGGAGGACCTTGGGCTGGTCAGTCTGGAAAATAGGAGACACTTGAGGTTGGCCTTTGGGGCACAGAAAACAACAGCTGAATGAGCCTCTGTGCCCATGGTGGACACTGACCACTGCTGAGGCTGAACAGCAGGAAGTCCTTGGAGAAGGGAAGGTGCCAGGAGAAGTTCTGTGACCTTGAAAAGGAGCAGGATTTGATGGAAAGAAATTTCTCCTGGGAATGTGTGCAGGGGCCACGTGGATTTCAAGGCTTGGGAGCTTTCGCAAAGCCAGGCTCAATTTCCCCCCTCTTTTCCTTTCATAGTTTTCTAAGCTTTCAAGCAGGTTCATTCAGCTGGGAGGCCTGGCCCCTCTTTTCTGCTTTGCCACACACTCTGGGGGAGAAGCATCAGGGAGAGAGGTGTTTGTTTAGAAAAGGTAGAAGACAAAAATGCTCAAAATCTAGTGGTCCATCACTGTCATGGTGACCATGCAAAAGTCAGCCCTGATCTGCCATGACAGGCTGTTGTCTTCCAGCAGAGCAGGAGGCAGCATTCAGCTAATTAATTGCATGATATGGAAAATTCTGAAGAAAGAGACTTTCACTCTCTGCTCATGCCCCTAGACTCATGTGTGGTTGATCCCCGGGGTCTCATTTGCCCCACAGAGCTGCTCCCATAGAATCACTAAGGCTGGAAAAGACCTCCAAGGTCATCAAGTCCAACCTTTGACCAGATGCCACCTCATCAACCAGACCACAGCACTAAGGGCTATCACACTGTCAATGAAACAGCCACCACACGTCACTGATCTGGCTCAGCAGCAGCCACAAAACCACAAGCAGCTGCACCAAGGAGCATTTTCCCTTGCAGGTTGTCTCAGGTCACTGATTTAACCCATCTCCTGGTGACACAGAGAAGCCAAACCCCATGGTGAAAGCCAAACAACTTGATCCCAAAACACCCTGGTGTCAGCTGCAGCAGGCAGGGATCCTCTGGGGAGCATTTGTGCTGTTGGCATCTCAGCTCTGAAAGCCAAGGTAATGATACCTTTGGGGTCTGAGCCTCCTGTACTGCAGGGTTCAGGTGCAGAGGGGGTTCCTGTAGGGATCCACACCCTGCTCTCACCTTTAGGACAAAGGTGTTGTCTTTGTCAGGCATCTCCAGGGGCATGGTGGTGCGCACCTCGATGATGGCCGACAGTGGGATGCTCACCTTGGGTTTGGAAGCCTGAGAAAAGGAAAAAAAAAATAGCAAAGAAAACAAATGAAAAGAAATCAATGAATTAAAAAAAAAAAAAAAAAAAAAAGTCACTCAATTGAATCAAACTGTCCCTGGGGACAATGCAGCAGGGCTCTCAGAGGCAAGATCAGCTCAGCCTGTGTGGTTATTACAGAGGGGGAATAAACAGCATTGATTTCCCTCCCGTGCCTGATAACTCTGTGCTCTGTGAATTAAACCAAGAGGAGGCCCAGTGGAAGACAGGGAGGTGCTTTTAACTGCCAAACCACCCTTCTTGCTCCAGCGCAGGCTGATGTGCCAGCTCTGCCAACACCACTTAATTTCTCTCCATTTTCCACCCTCTCCCGATGGAGAGAGCTGTGCTATCTGATGGGGGATGCTTCCCATGCAGAAAGCAGCCCTGTTTCTCCAGCACAGGAGCAGCATTTCAACTGAGCAGCTACAACACAGCAGCCTCAGCCATGCAGGGAATTTTAATTACATTAAAATCAAGAAAAATGAATTTCCCCCAGGGCCCCTGGCACCCGCCGGAGCCTCGGTGGGGAGGCAAGACCCGGTACCTCCCACTCCAAGTGTTTGCTGAGCAACAAATTCCCCAGATATTTGTTTTAATTATAACAAATCCCCACAAAGGAGCTTGTGGAGCTCCTCTCCAGGGCTGGTCCCCTCCAGGGCTCTGGGATTTGGAGCACTGCAGCTGCAGGAAGCAGAGATGAGATTTAGTCACCAAGACCTGCGCCTGGTGCCGTGGATGCAGTGGGTGGGATGAGGCCAGCAAGGAGCTCCAGGCTGCAAGTTACCAATAACGGGCTCAGTTCCCATTTTTATTGGGAAATAAAAATAAATAAATCCAAGACAGAACAGAAACTGCTTTTTCCCTTTCAGGATGTTTCGTTTCTGCCAGCCCCAGAGCCCCAGTGCTGCCTGCAGACACGTCTCAGCCGTGCAAGGCTCTGCCCATCCCTGGGGAATTTTTCCATCTCGGTGTTTGCACAGGAGAAGGTCAGAAAGGAAGCAGCAGCTGCTTCGAAAGGAAAGGAAACAAGGTGATAATTCACCCCTGAGCCAGAGAAGGGTCTTAGAATCACAGGATGGTTTGGGTTGGAAGGGACCTTGAAGATCATCTCATTCCAACCCCTCCTCTCCAGGAGGGTTCTTCCCTTTAAAGGTTTACAGACATGGCCATAGTTTTTGTAGGGTCTATGTAAAAACAAAGCTGTGGGCTGCTGAAGCAAAAAGCAGTTTTCTTCCAGCTGTGCCAGACTGGTGCCACTTTTACATTTGCCAGATGGAAAGCAAGATGGGATGAGAGGAGAAAGCTGTAAACCAAAGTGGGGTGTGATTATAACAGAAGAGCAGACAATGTTCATAAAAGTTGCCATAAAATAATTTCAAAATTGATTTTTAGAGGCAAATCAAGATACACTAAAAAAGGAATCCCTCTATGAGCTCTCTCTTAAATGTTTTAAGAGCAGCAGTTGTTCCATTTTAACCCAAGTTTATTTTCTCTTTGGTGCAGCTGACACACCAGGCTTCATCAGATCCTCCATCCACAGAATCACAGAATGGGTTTAAAGGAATCCTTTTCCACCCCCTGCCATGGGCAAGGACACCTTCCACTAGCCCAGGTTGCTCCAAGCCCCATCCAACCTTGCCTTGGGCACTTCCAGGGATAGGGCAGCCACAGCTTCTCTGGGTGTACCAGGGTCTCATCACCCTCACAGGGAAGAATTTCTCCCCAATGTCCCACCTATCCCGACTCTCTTTCAATTTAAAGCCATTCCCCCCTGCCCTGTCACTCTCTCCAGTTCTCCCACAGGCTCCCTAGTGGGCACCATGGACATTGGGGTTGTTTCCTTCCAGCCAGACCCCATTCCTGGGTTGGGGAAGTTCCCAGTCCAGTCCAGAGCAATGCCCACCATCCTTACCCATGCTGAGCTGCTCTCCAGAGAGATGCATTTGAGTTCAAGCTCCTGTTTTATATTTTCTCAGAAGGTGAGAGGCACAGACCAACACCAAGAGTGCAAGGTTCATTTTGGCCTGCAGGTTGGATGGGTTTCAAGCACATTTTCCAATCCATTTGCACCTCAGCCACACAGCACCAGATCTCCCTCTGGACCAGAGCTGGATTTCAGCCCAGCTCAGCAGTGGAAACAAAAAAAAAACCCCAAAAGCAAAGCCCAAGAACTGCTTGAATTCCTCATAAAAACAACAGAGGACAAAAGCCAGGGCTTACCTTTGGAGGGACATAAAACTCCAGGAGGAACCTCTCCCCTTCCACCTTCACCGCTTTGCGGAGCAGGAGGCGGCACTTCTGCCACTGCGAGCTGCCCACACAGTTCGTGTCATCGGCCACCATGTAGCGCAGCGTCCCCTCCCTCTGGATGTCCACCAGCTCCACCTTGGACGAGGGCACCTTGGACAGGCGCAGCTTGTGTGTCCATTTCTCCCGAGGGTCCCCAGGCTCCTTGCCCCCGGCCGGCCACGGCTCCCTCTCGGCCCTGCGCCCGCCCAGGGCGGCCTCGGCGCCCGGCTCCGGAGAGGATTTGCGGTGCCACATCTCCTTCATGCCATCCACCACGCACAGGCTCATGTTCCTCAGGGAGAAACCTTTCTTGAACTTGGGCTTGGCAGCAGCGTGGATGGAGACATCCTCCGAGCTGCGGGACTGCCCGTAGGAGGAGACCTTGTGAGCCTGCACCTGCTGGGCCGGGGTCAGGTAGCGGCTGGCACCCAGCGGGGCGTCCATGCTGTCCAGAGACTCCGTGGACGTCTCCTCCTTCCTCGGGGTGACCTCCCGCCCGTAGGGCACGTGGCAGTTCTGCAGCCCCACGAAGGGCACGATGTTGTACTTGGTGGGCGAGTCAGACACAAACACCCTGCTGACCTCCAGGCTGAAGATGTCCAGGAAGTTGGCGGTGAAATGGTGGGAGAAGGAGGTCTCTGCCCCGGGGGTGTCGTAGTGGGGGTTCTCCTTCAGGAACTGGCAGAACTTCTGGGCGAAGTCCACGGCGGCTGCCTGGGCATGCAGCTTGCAGAACTCCCTCCAGTCGGGGAGCGGGGAGGAGGGCTCCTGGCACAGGGCATCGCCGTTCATGGCTGCCCCATTCCACCTGCCGGCGGGCTGCAGGCGAGGACACGGCCTGAGTGAGGCATGGACAGGGACACAGACAGTGCCCCAAAAACAGGGACATGGACAACCCACCCTGTCCCCCAAAAACAGGGACACAGACAACCCATCCTGTTCCCAAAAACAGGGACATGGACAATCCAGCCTGTCCCCCAAAAACAGGGACATGGATATCCCACCCTGTCCCTCAGAAACAGAGACATGGATATCCCATCCTGTCCCCCAAAAACAGAGACATAGACAACCCACTCTGTCTTACCTCAAATGGGGACATGGACAACAACAACCCACCCTGCACCCCCAAACAAGGGCATGGACATGGACAACAACCCTGACCCTCAGAATGGAGGTCACCCCTTGCCATGATGCCAGAGCTGATCTGCAGCTCCAGTGCAAAGGAAAATGCTGTGGCAAAGTGTCTGTGTGTTGCTCTCTCTCCACCTCATCCACTAGGAAAAAATCTTGGCCCCGGCAGCAGCCATAAATTGTACTTATTTTACGATTATGACCATGCAAAAGCATTATTGATTTCTCATGAAACCGCTAAGGAGTCCCCGAGCGGAGGAGCCCAGGGGCGTTTGCCTGCAGGATTCCTCTCACTCTGTGTCTGCCTGGGCATGGCACAGCTCTCCATAGGGGGAGGGAGCATTGGGAGTCCTGGAAGTATCCACCCAGGGCAGCACCCTCCCCTCTGCACCCCACGGCTGGTCCTTCTCTTTCTCTCCAGTCTCTATTTCAGCTCTCATCCTTTCCCACATCAATTTTGGGATTTTGCTCTCCCTGCTGTGCATCAGCTGAGAGAACCCAGGACAGGTCCTCAGCAGAGCCCATGAGTAGGTAGGGTGCAGGGGGAAAAGGAACAGAAGCCAGACCCAGGAGCACACCAGAAGTTGACAGGAGCTGCAGAGCAGACCTGTGAGCCCCTGGGGAGAAGCATCACTTTGCCCAACCTCCACACTGGTCCTTCTCCCAGTGGCTGTGAGACTGGCAGGGCCTGTGTACAGTCCAGCTTGGTGCTCATATTGCACTTCCCAAATCTCTACCTGATGCTGGGCAGCATGAACAGCCTCCCCTGGGGAACCCCAGCAGTGACTGAGTGACTGCATCTCAAAAATCACCTCTCAGTGCCAAAACTGCTCATGGCTGCTGGTGGGCCTTGGCTGGGGCACTGCTGAGCCCATGACCCCAAACATCTGGTCCCTGTGTCCAGACACCCTCCTTCCTCCACTCCAAGGGCAGCAGTTTGGCAAATCCACCTCAGCTGCTCAAACACTGGGTGCCTGTGGCTGCTCTGCTCCAGGGGCAGGGACTGTGCCTGTGGGATCCATTTCTGGAAGGGCAGGACAGTTCTCCTGGGTTTTGCTGCTCTCCATTCACAGAGCAGCTCTTTCCCTGGGTTTTGCTGCTCTCCATTCACAGAGCAGCTCTTTCCCTGGGTTTTGCTGCTCTCCATTCACAGAGCAGCCCTTTTGCTGGTGAGGGATTACTCCTGCTAATAAATCACGCGCCGGATCCCGCCAGCAGCTTACAGGGCCAGTAATTAATTACTGCTCTGATGAACAGCACCAGCCATGGATCAGGGCGGGCACTGGGGACTGGCATAACCCACTCCTTATCCTCCAGACCCCAGCCATGTCAGTGCCCAGACCCCAGGCAGGGCTGAGCCCTGCAGGCTGGGATTCAGAGCAGCAGCTGTAGCCAGGAGCTGGTTGCCATATTCCCAGCACATCCCTAAGGAGATGAGCTCTTTGGGAGCACCTCCATCCCAGGAAGGGGCTCTCAACTGCCCCCAAACACTGAGAAACCCACACAGGCAACAAAATCCCACCAGAAACATGATACATGTGGCATTTCCTCAAGGATGCTTCACAGTGCCCTGGCTGTGCCAAGGAGGCGCTGAGGACAGGCTACACATGGGCCTGCACTGGCTCCTCACATCCCACAACACCAGCAGAGCTCCAGCTCCTGCAGAAATCCCTGGCAAAGCTCTCCCCAGCATCACAGGGATTTCCTGGAGACCTGAGCAGGGAACCATGCCAGCTGGGAAAAAACCCATCCCTGCAGTTTAGGAGCAGCCTCTGAATTTCCCCAAGAGACATCAGCAAAGCAGCAGAAAACGCAAAGCTGTTTGTTACCCGCCCAGCAAATGAAATTCCTAATTATCCATCCATCACCAAGCAGAGGATTTAAAGACTCTGCCCTTTGAATTGAAAATTCACTACCCCAGCTCTGCCATGGCCCAGGAGCTGCCCTGGCACCAAGCCATGGGCCAGGAGTATTTGGGCTCAGGGAGAAAACAGAGATGAAAAGGAATCTCCTGCTGCCAATCCAAGCAGTCACAGCCAGAGCAAGGGAAAGGGTGCAAAGGGAAAAGAGCAGAAAGGGGCTTGTGGGGGAAAGAGAAAGCCCCTTGGTGATGGGTTTATTTGCATCTGCCCAGGGGCTCTTCTGGTTTCCCTCCCATGAATTTGGGGGAAAACCCATCTCCCCATCCCTCCCTCCAGGAGGGACTGGTGCTCAGGGCCTGCCTGTTTGAAACCAAGGGATGGCAAGCTAACAGACTCCAAGGGGTTAAGGGGAAAAAAAAGAAGAAGAAGGAGGAAAAAAAAGGCACTTCAAAAAAGATAAAGCCCCAAACAAAAAGCCTCAAGGAGATCCAGGGATGGCAGCCGGGCTCCGGCTCAGAGACGCGCACGCAGAGGCATCACAGCATCTTCCTTTCATCTGCATGGGGATGACAGACTTTAAAAGGCCAATTTATAAAAATGAAGCCTAGAGGAGAGACATCTGGCAGGTCTGAGGAGGCGGTGGCGGGGATTACTAACCCTGTGTCACATATCCAGGATATCCAACCCTCCCTGCCCAGAGCACAGCCAGGAGCCCCCAGCACAGGCTGGGACTCAGTGGGGTGGTTTAAGGGCAGACCCTGGGACTGCAGAGCCATCCCCGCCCTTGATTCACCTGATTTCTGCAGGAAGCAGGCTCCCAATTATCTGTGTAGATTTACCTTTAATCTGGATGCCTGCACTCCCCTCCATACCAACAGCTCTGCCCCACTTCTTGAAATAACTTATCATGCCACAGACAGCATCCCCGGGCAGAGCGGTGGAAGCGGAGACCAAAATAAGCTCAGAATGAAAATAAGCAGCAAATCTGCAATTGCTTTTTGGGAAGGGCCATCCCCTGCCAGCCCAGCTTCCTGAGGGCTGCAGCACACTCCAGGCACCTTTCTAAAGAGCCAGATCCCATGGAAGTACCCTCAGCCCACTCCAGAAGTGGCTCAGGGGCCACAGCCTTTAGTCCTTGAGTCCCTGGCCTGGGTGACACAAGAGAACAGAAAAATAAATATATAAAATGGGGTGTTTTGTTGTCATGAAGAAGCCATGGAGTGGCAACCACAGCATCAGGCTGGTGACAGGCTCCTAAACCCACCTGCACAAGTCCCCATCTCCTGCCAGGGCAGAGCTGTGCCTGCTGCTCTGTCATTTGGGAAACTGAGTCAAAACTTAAGAAAAGAAAACAAAAATAAAGAACTTCTGGGGCTTGCCAAGTGGAAACCCAGGCTGGGATGATAGGTGAGAGCCAGCTGCTGGCAGTGATTTGGGACACCTCTCCCACCAAGGTGTGCTGAGGCATCCCCTGCTCCGGAGTGGGGGGGACACACAGAATACTCTGGAAGTGGAAGCAAAGCTACTGACCTCAAGAAGAAATGAAATTTAAACTGTCAGCAGAAGCGCAGGAGACCATAAAAAAACAACTCCCCGGTGAAGCAGGAGTCAGGGAGCAACAACAAAGCCACTGGGATTTGCTGAACCAGAGGCGTGGGGAGGAACCAGCATCTAATGAGGTGTTAATAACCCGAATGCGCCACACCGGTCATGGGATGGCCAGCACAGCCTGCCCAGCACGGCTGGCTCTGATGGCTTTATTTAAGGAAACAACCCTAATAAAGAGATGTTTCCCTTCCGCCCAGCACAGCGCAGCCAGGCTGGGACAAAGTGATCCGAAACTGAGAGGGGGAAAAAGCACTGTGTGCTGGAGGCTGTGAGCAGCAAACTGAACCCCTCCATCCCTCCCTCCACCTCCAAGCTGAATCCCTCCATCCATCCATCCCTCCAGCTGTGCAGGGAAACCGCCAGAGAGCGACGGGAAAGGAAAAGGCAGCGCAGGAGGCAAAGGAGATGCCAGCCCAGCCCCGGCTGTCCTGCTCCTGCAGGGCTGCTCGGTTTCCAGCAAGATCGATGCCACTCAAAGCCCCAGCTGGCCATGGCGATCCCGCGGGAATGACATGAGGAAACCCAGGCACCTGCTCCCCCAGAAAAGCGCCTGACCTAAGCGTGCCATGCCAGAGGAGATCCCCGAGTCACGAGCAGGTCGCAGAGCAAGGCGATACCCCCGGCCCCCCCAGGGGATGCTGCTGGCAGCGGCTCCTGACACACGGGCAGCTCCCGGGGGAGCCTGGAGCCCGCCTGCACAAAGCCCAGGCACTGCCTGCCCTGGGCACACGGGACAACGAGGGCCATTTCTTGCCCGTTTGCTCTTTTGAAGACGTGTCCCATCAGCATCTCCACCCCAAAACCTTGTCCTGGGGAAGGAGACAGTGGGGCAGAGCGAGCAGGCTCAGCCTGATGGCAGGATATCACACAGAGCTGTGAGAACACCCTTATGTGCAAGAGGAGGAAAGGGTCATTTCTTGCCCATTTTCTCTTTTGAAGGATGTTGTTGTCCCATCAGCACCTCCACCCCAAAACATCATCCTGGCCACCCAGCACTACTGAGTGCTCTGGGGCATCCTTTTTGAGAGCTGGCCTGGCCAGTGGGGACCCCTCACTAGGCAGCAGAAAAAGGCACAAGGAGCCTTTTCACTCCAGAAAAATCTTTTTCAGGGATGAGGGATGCTAGGAGCTGATCTCCCCCCATTCCGCTGCTGAGACCTGAAGCCTGTGACCAAGTGACCTCCTCCCTTTGTCACCTCGAGGACCCTTCCCAGCCCTTGAGACCCACCAGAGCTTTAATGGCATGCAGAGGCTGAGCTGAGGAGGAGAAAACCATAAGGGACAAAAGCAGAAATCACCTGCCCTGTGCCTTTCACTCCCCCCAGACCCCTGACCACAGCCCTGGCGTGGGAGAAGCTGATTTCCCTCCATCCTCCTCAGTACTCCATGCACTATTTATACTATTGTGATCTTAAATCAGACTGCCTGTCTGAACCAGACAGAAATGGAAACATTCCTTGTTCCTCTCATTTACTGGCCATCCCACTAAAATATTAATTGAACAGCATTTTGGCCTTAAATTTTATAGTCAAACCACCTGCCTTGAACCAATCCCTCAGCAGGAGCATGCTTTAACTCCCTTCCCAGATGCACTTCAGGGTCCACCTGTCACCTGCAGCTTAGAAAAGATTTTTTTGGAGTGAAAAGGCTCCTTGTGCCTTTTTCTGCTGCCCAGCCCAGCTCTCACAAAGGATGCCCCAAAGCACTCAGTAGTGCTGGGTGGCCAGGATGAGGTTTTGGGGTGGAGGTGCTGATGGGACAACATTTCAAAAGAGAAAATGGGCAAGAAATGAACCTTCCCTTCTCTTGCACATAAGGGTGTCCCCACAGCTGTGTGTGATATCCTGATTTGAGCCCCACAGGAACCAATGCTCCTGCAAATGAGCAGATGGGCCCATGAGAGCACCCAGTAAAACCTGAGATTTTCTCCATCTCCCACTACTCTGACCATGCCACAGGGTTGTTCCTCTCCCTCCCCTCCAAAATCCCCCGCAGTGGATGTCGCACTTCCTGTGCTGACAGCTGCTGGAAAATAAAGACAAGTTCATAGATAAGATCCACTGGATCTTAGATAATCTTTTCTCTGGGTAATTCCATCCAGCTTGCAGGGAGCCACTCTGCCACAGGACTGGAGCATCACCCAAGCCACCCAACCTGCTGGTGTTGTGGGACCTGGGGGACACCTCAGCCATGGGGACAGGGTCCCCAGGGTGCAGTGACAATGATCAGCAAAGCTTTGGTGCATCATAAATGCAGCTTGGGGCTTGGAGGCTGTGTCTGGGAATAAAGCAGAGACACCCCCTCAATGCCCCAAAGGAAAAGCTATCAGAAAAACAAAATAAATGAAAATCCCAGAGCTTTGGGTGAAGGAGGTCAGAGGCTGTTGTCCATTCCCCCTCATTGGGTGCCACCTCACGTGCCTGTCTCCAGCCAGAGAGCTTCCCACAGAAAACCACCCAGTCCAAAGTCTATTTTTAACCACCACAATAGCAGAGCCTCCCCCGAGGAGCAGCAGAAGCCCTGTCCCCAACCAAGCAATCTCACATTTCCCTCGCTAAGCCTCGATTTCCTTCCGCCCCTCAGCCCACAACAAAACCCTTCTCCTCCTCCTCCTCTTGCCTTCCCATCCTCAGAAAACTATTTGCACATCCATCCATGCCCCTCCAGGCTGGTGTGCTGTGGGTGCAGAGTGTCCTGCACACCTGTTACACATTAACCACTGACCTGGCACCTGTGGGCAGACCCTTCCTGCACTCAGGAATGCCAAGCAGCAGCAGCTTCATCTGCTCAGCCCCCTCCCCTGGATGCACCCCAAACTCTGGGGGTTTAAAGAAAAAGCCCTGCAACATCGACCCAGCTGCACTTTGCAAAGCAAGTGCAAACTCTTTTAAAGAGATTACTCTTGCCCTGGGGATTGCTGTGCCAAGGAGGAGCTCTTTGGGGGTTTTTGGGGAGAGAGCTGAGTGGGTGCTCAACAAAGCAAATCCTGATGGATACAGCACAGTCATCACTGGGGATTCCCCACCATTAGGTCAGAGAAACCCCTAAGATTGTTTTTCAATTACAGCACATAATAAACATGAGATAAAGTTACACAGTTCTGTAGGAAATTTTCTTATTATGTTTTTTTTTTATGTTGCAGATCTAATTCCCCACACGCATCACTGTCTCATACCCGCCTGCAAACAGCCTTAAACTGCTGCCTAATGGTATCTGAGCTGGGGAAATTCAATTCTACCCAGCGCCTCACCCAGGACTGCTACAATCACTGCTAATTGCTTAAGTGGTGTATTAAGCAAAATAAAAATTCCAGTGGGCTTTGAACCCCTCCCCTCCTCAACCAGATGATGCCAAAACACCCTGTTACAGCTGCCAACCCTGGCTGGAGAGCCAACCTCAAATATCCCTTTTCTTTTCCCTGTGCAGGGATGCTCCTGGGCAGGCAGAGCTTCGAACCCAGCATGGCCATGACCACACCAGAGGGATCCACAGGCTGTGTCTGACTTTGCCTTCCCTCTTGCCAGGGTTGTGGGTGCCATTGCAGCCCCTCTCCTACCCCAGGGTCCAAATGCTGCCAGGACCCAGTGAACAGGGCACAAACATCTGCCCAGTGGGACCCTGGGGTGGATGCACACCGGGTCCTCTCCTGTCCCCCCACCTGTGGGTGTGGATGGATGTGGGGCTCCTGTCAAGTCTCGTCCCAAATCCAAACCCTGCACAAGACCAAGCAGATTCTCCAAGCCCTTCTGGTTTTCCCTTTAGCAAAAATCAGGTGTGGGATGTAGTTTTAGGCACGTTCTCTCCTCCTCTCCACCATGATGGAGCCAGCTGGGATTGAATTTCTGGGAGCAGGGTCCCCAGGTTCCCTCTGCCTGCACAAGGATGTGGATCACTGAGCCAGGGACAGGTCTCCAACCCTATCCCAGCACCTCACTGGCATCCACGGGCAGGGAAAGCAGCTGAGGTCAAGTGAGGGCAGCCTCAGGCAGAAGGGGAATGATGCAGGAACCTCAGGGCTGGAAGGACTGCCCTGGGGCATCCCAGCCAGCCTGAGTCAGCAGGGCCAGCAGATGTGCAACCATCATCAGATGTGCAACCATCATCTGGTTTCTCTGCTTCTGTTAGGAAGAAGAGGAGGAAGAGGAAAGGCATCAGCCAGCAACATCCTCATCCTGAGGAGATGGGTGTTCTGCCTCCAAGGAGGAAGGACAAGAGGAGGCTGGACAAGACCACACTGCCATGAGGGTGCTCACAGTCCAGGAGAAGAGGGGAGAGACCTCAGATCAGCCAGAAGAGGTGACCCTGCAGTCAAGCAGCCACTGCAGCCCTGAACCAGCTGAGGAACGAGAGGATTTTAACCACAAAGCCTTGACCAGGCAGGGCTGACTCACCCTCCTCAATGGCACAGGGCTCTGGGCACTGAGCTGGCTGAGACACCAGGCAGGGCTGGCAAACCTGGGTGCTCCCCAAGCTGGAGCAGAGAGGATTATGCAGCTTTTTTAAGGAAACACTCAGTGGTTGATACAGTGATGGTGAGACACTGGGAAATACCACAGAAGGACACAGAGAGAAGGTCCAAGGGCACTTGCCATCCCATCTGAGCAGATCTCCTGGCAGCACACACCCACCTGTCTGTACAAATGTGCCCTCCCCAGGGAAGGGGGGCTGAGCACATTTCAGGACAGTCTGTGTTGGTTTAGGAGGATAATTCCTATTTAGAAAGGCATCCCCAGAAATCCATGGTCCTTCTCCACTCTCCCAACAAACCAAACCAAAAATCCTCATGGAGGGGAGCTCTGAGTAATCATAGAATTATTTAGTTTGGAAAAGACATGCAAGATCACCCAGTCCAACCATTCCCCAGCACTGCCCAGGCCACCTCTAACCCATGTCCCCTAGTGCCACATCCACACCTTTGCTAAATCCTCCAGGGATGGTGACTCCACCAATGCCCTGGGCAGCCTGACAACCCTTTCAGCAGAGATTTTTCCTAATATCCAACTAAACCTCCCCTGGCACAACTTGAGGCCATTTCCTCTTGTCTAGTCAGCTGTACCTGGCTACAGTTTCCTTTCAGGCAGTTGTAGAAAGGGAGAAGTTCCCCCCGAGCCTCCTTTTCTGCGGGCTGAGCTCCCCCAGCTGCTCCTCATCCACTCAAAGCCACAGGAGCAGGGCCTGTGAGGGGTTTGGGGCAGGGTGCTGGGGGGACAGGGAGGTTTTACCTCCTTTCCCGTTCCAGTTCACAAGATCCCCGAAGCACCGGCAGCGTGGCTCCTGCAGGTCAAACGCATAACTCCAACCGATCAATTTCCACACTGGAAGGAAGTACCAGACAGACTGGGAGGGAGGGACCTGGAAGGCAAAGGTTTAGGCTGTCAATCCCTGGAGCCACAGCAAAATCCCCAGGCACATCTCACCTCCCCCAAGCCACAGTCCAGCAGGGCTCCGGCCTGACTTCACCAAAAGCAGAAAGAAGCAGAAGGGCCGGGCAGAAAGTCCCCGAAGCCTCCCAGGGGCCTTCCCGCGGTGCTGCCCAGGCTCGGCAGAGCAGGGCTGGCCGGAGGCAGCAGCTGCCCCTCGCTGGCCCGGGGGCCCCGCGGCGATGCAGGGCTGAGCCCTCGGGGGAGCCCCTGCACCCCTCACGGAACGCCAGGCAGACAATACCGACCGAAAATAAGGGAGCATCCATGCGGGGGGCTGCGCGTTGTGTGTGCCCCCCTTCGGGTCTGCCAGCCCCAAACCCCGGGGGAAACCAACCCATGGCTGCAGCCCCGCGGGAAACCCCCATCCCCAGAGCAGCCCCCATTCCCGGAGCAGCCCCTGGGGCCGGGGGAGTCCAAACCAAGGCTGCAGCCCCGCTCCCCCGGGGCAGCCCCCAGGGCCGGGAGCAGCCCCCATCCCCGGAGCAGCCCAAACCAAGGCTGCAGCCCCGCTCCCCCTGAGCAGCCCCCAGGGCCGGGAGCAGCCCCCATCCCCGGAGCAGCCCAAACCAAGGCTGCAGCCCCGCTCCCCCGGGGCAGCCCCCAGGGCGGAGAGCAGCCCCCATCCCTGGAGCAGCCCAAACCAAGGCTGCAGCCCCGCTCCCCCTGAGCAGTCCCCAGGGCCGGAGGATCCCTCATCCCCGGGAGAGCCCCCAGGGCCGGGGGAACCCAAGCCAAGGCAGCAGCCCCATCCCCGGAGCAGCCCCAGCCAAGGCAGCAGCCCCCGCTCCCCCCCGGGCCGAGCCGGCTCTGCCCCATCACCGCCCCCCGCCCCCGCGGGCCCGGGGCCGCCCCGATGCTCACCGGGGAGCGGGGCTGGCCCGGCCCCGCCGTGCGAGGGGAGGGGGCGGCTCGGGGACCCTCCCGAACGCACCGCGCCGCAGCGGCGGGGGGCGGGAGCCTCCCCCGGCTGGGGGAGCCGCTGCTGAACGGGGGAGCGGGGGGGAAGAGCCGCCAATAAATCCCCGCCTAAATCCCCGCCCGCCGCTGCGGTGCCGGTGCCGGTACCGGAGGATGCGCTCACCCGGCCCCGCTCGCTGCTCGGTTCGCGGCGCGGCTCGGCTCGGCTCGGCTCGGCTCCGGCCGGCCCGGCCGCCCCCCGCCCCGCCGGCAGCGCCGCCCCCCGCACCGCCCCCGCCGCCTTAAAGGGCCCCGCCCGGCCCCGCCGCCCCCGCCCGGCGCTCTGCGAGGGGCCCCGGGGACACCGAGCCACCCCCGCCCAGCCATGGGACCCCGGGGACACCGAGCCACCCCCGCCCAGCACGGGCTGGCCTGGGGCCGTGCCTGCGAGAGCGCCCCGGATAGCGCGGGGCACCCCAAATCCTCAGGAAAAGCCCCTAATCCTCGGACGGGCTCCCCAACCCTCCTGGGAGCGCTGCAAATCTTTGGGCAGCACCCTAAATATTCAAGGTGCCAAGTGTTCGGGTCCCCGAGATCCTCGAGATGCACAGATCGTGGCAGGGCTCCCCCGTGCTCTGAAGAGGGGCTGCAGCCTTTGCTCACTGCTCACCTCATCTATCATCCAGCATTTGTCCTTGCAGTGCCCAGGGGAGGGCATTGGGGTGATCCCCCCACACCCGCATTCCCAGGGGGTGAGACTGGAGTGGCTCCAGGGGGAGTTTTGGGGTCTGGACCCACTGCCCACCTTTGTCATCCTGCTGATGCATTTTGGGCACATCCCAGAGCACTTTCCCTGCCAGGGGATTCAGGACAGACTGAACCCCAGGACAGGGTGGGTCAGGATGACCAAGCCCCAGGACAGGGGAACTGAAGCCCAGAGAGGTTTAAGGGATGGATTTGGGGGTCACAGTGCCTCTGGGACCCTGCACAGCCCCCCAGCCTCCCCATGGCGTGTCCATGCATGGATAGGGATGAGTCACCATTAAAAAAAAAAAAAAAAAGGGAAAAAAAGGATTTGCAGGAGGAACAAATCCCTTTTACTTCTGTGAAGCACCTGTAGGATTAAGACAATGCTGGTTATATAAGAGGTGGAGAAGGGTGGATTTCAGCATTATTGTTATTATTAATATTTATTTATTATGCTTCCTCACCGTCCCATCACCCTGACAGGTGTATTCTGGGGAGATTTGGGGAGAGGCTGGTTTGGGGGAGAAGAAGCAGATTTGTTGTAGGGCTGGTGCAGAGTGATGCATCATTTGCTTTTTCTTCCCCCACAGCAGCAGGGGCCAAAGTAGACAGTGCAAAAGCACTGCTGAGGAGGCACAACTGGGACAGGGATGGTTGATTTTCTCCGTTATGGCTCATTTGTGATGATTTTGGGTGGATTCTCTCCCTCCTGCTTCTGGCTGGTCACATTTTCAAGGCCAGGTTGGGCAGGGCTGGGAGCAATCAGGTCTGGTAGAAGGTTCCCTGCCCAGCAGGGGCTGGAATGAGATGAGCTTTAAGTTTCCTTCCAACCCAAACCATGAAATGTTTCTGCCATTCTGTGATTCCCTTCCCAGGGGCATTCTGGGGGTGAATGGATGCTCAGAGAGAGGCTGGATCCCTCTGCTGAGTGCAGGTGACCCTGGGCCACCCACCTTCACCCACCTCCCACAGCAGCTGGCAACGTGCTTCCACTCCCCCCCCTTCCCCTGCCTCCTCCTCTGAAAAGCCTCTCTCCCATTCATATCCATTTTTAAAGAAAACACACAATCAATAGTCTCTCAGGCTGGAATTTCATTAAGGTTTTCATTGCACTCGCTATCGATTGGCAGCAGGGCTGGGAGCTGCACGGAGCTGATGCTGAGCCCTGCCTGCTCTGGGACCCCCCCAGACCATCCTAAAGGGACAGGGCAGTGCAGAGGGTCTGGCTGCTCCCATGCAGGGGGCAGAAAGCCCAGCATCCCAGATTTTACTGGATTTTACCATCACTCACAGCAAAACCAGGAGCCCAGGGAAGGGCTGGGATGCTGGGGTTTCTTTTATGAACCTAAACAAAGGCTTTGGTTCACAACAGGCTCACTCCTGCCTTCCCTTCGTGGGATGCTGCTTGTTCCAGGATGTGTAAAACCAGGCTGGAATGCTTGGCCTTGCTTCCAGCAAACACGGGGGCTGCAAGAACACCCAGAGCTCTGAGTGTGGAAGGACACGCTTTGCTCCGCTGCTGGTCGGTCACTTGGAAAATCAAGTGAAAAATCCCAACCTCTAAAAAGGCTCTGTGGGCTAATTTTAGGTCTGGGCCTTGACCAGAGAGATTTACAATAATTGCCAGGGTGAAAGTTTAACTTCTCCCGCGACTTTTCTCAGCAATCCCCAAGGAACCACGTTCTGCTGTGCAAGGAGCATCCCCAGGCCAGCTCCCCAAATTGCCTTTTTAAGGCTTTATTTTTAAGCCAAACCCACAGGCTGCCTTCAACGGGACAAAAATCCTTCACGAGTCCCAGTCTAGAACTGGTGGGAGCTCCTGTGGATGGGGATGAGCTTTGGCTCAAATCCTTGTCCCCATTTTTTGGCCGTGCTCACCCCTCAGACACAGAGCACAGCCCCCATGGCCACCCCTGTTCCCTGTTCCCACTCAGCCCTAAACCTTTTCAACAGGACCCACAACAGGAGCAAAGCTCGTAGAACCACGGCCTTCCTGCTGTGCTAAATGATTTAAAACTGGTGATGAATAAACCTAATATCTGCCCGCTCCTGCCAATTCTCATTACTCTGGGACTCCCTTGGAGCGATTAGCTGCCTTTAAAAAAAATTTAAAAAAAAATCGCTGGAAGGAATCAAGCGAGTGGCTCAGCCAGCGCTGGGGAGGGCTGCTGACAGCATCCCGGCTGGAGCCAGACGTGCCCTTGAAATCCTGTGCCCGGAGGCATCCGGCAGCCAAGCCCCGGCAGAGCCAGCCCGGAGCTCTGGCTCCATCCTCACCAGTCCCGGGGGGCTGGGGAGGGGATCCGGGGAGCTGGGACCGCCGTGCTGTGCCTGATTATCCAGCAAAACCCTCGTGCTGCGAGGCCACAACACCCTGGTGGAGAGGGGTTTGTGAGCATCCCGGGAAAAGCCTGGAGGGCAGTGCCAGCCCAGCCATGAAGCCATTGCAGGCACGGCAAAGCCGGGTGTGTGTGTGAGCTGTCAGCCAGGCAGACAGCCCCCAGGCACCTCCCGGGCTGTCACAGCTGCAAATTGTCCAGGAGCAGTCCCTAATGGGATGTAAGGGGAGGATTTTGTTGGAGGAAGATGTCACAGGGATGAAAGGGGGAAAGAGAGGAAACCTGGAAAAATAGCGGTTTGGGTTTGTGTTTATTTGTGGAGGAGAAACTGTTTTAAAATGTCCTTTGGTGTGTTGGAGAAGGCAAACAGGCAGTGACAGCCCAGCCACGGGGCTGGAGGAGCCTTCACTGATGGGAAGACCTTGATGTGCAAATTCCCTGCTCCTCCTCACCCTGCATCTCAGGATTTACCTGTGAGAGGGAGCAAAGCCCTTTCCTTTCAACACAAAAACTGTGTTTAATATTTCCTCTGTGACCTGAGCTTTTTCTTCCCCAGGGTGTTTGTGCAGCCCTGGCTGAGTGGTGCTCTCCCAGGATGACCTCAGAGATGGACAAGCCCAACCACAGACCAGAACAAAGCCAGACCAGCTGTAATTCCCTGGGGGAGGATGTACAAACTGAAAGGG